TTGTTAGACCTCAGTCAACATGATTGTGTCCATTATGATCTCCATAAGTCAATATCTCTTGAGACTCTAATTTCTGCTGTGGAGTAGATTCAATTTCCGGACACCCAGTTGAGATACTTGCTAAAAAACAAAAAGGCCTTGTTGGCAGCCTACTTTCAATCACAATTTGAACTCTGCGACCCCTAACACTTTTAACTGACTTCCGAATTGCAACAAACACGTCCACAAACTTGCACTTTACATGGTGCAAATAGGACTTTGTTCACTAATTTGTAATGACACCTGTTTTGATATGATGCTATGATGCTTGTGCAATTAAGGACAGTATTGAAAGTGATTTCACCCTTTATATAGCACCTCGATAAAAAAAATATTCAAGTGTATTATATTGAGAATGAAAAGGCACGCCTTTCATGGGATCGTGTAAATCCAATTGGCTGCCATTTCGTCGCTTTTCGGGTTCATTACCACAGCGGTGACTCAAATTGGCTGAAACTAGATACAATAACGAATAAATTAGCTCTTTCCTTTTTGAATGAAGTATTAGAGACCCAAAAGTCAACGCGATTTATCGGAAGAAACTCTTGACACAGGAATTACATGAAGTAATTCTTCTTCGAAGGATTTCCCCACGTAAGTTCTTTAATTAAATTATTGAATAAAGTTATCTTAAGGTATGTAATGCTTTGAGCAGAATTTTTAGACCACTGCTTCTTTTGAATAAATGCTTTTTGAATATATAAAATGCAAATTTAGTGCTTCTCACGACCTCAATGTCCCCTTAACTAGCCGATTTATCATTGTTGCAAATGCATTTCCTCCACCACAAGCACCTCACAGCAAATAATCTCTCTCATTGTTTGCAAACAATGACGAGATAAAGTGATCAAAGTGGGGCTACTACTAATTAATCCATAGAATGCAGCACCGATCTCGCCTCGGCGATTTTGATGGGTGACACGAATTGAACATGAATAATCCAATCAATATTACGAAAATGCATGCAATGATCACACTAGTGAACTCGTTGAAGTATTCAAAAACACGATAATCTTCCATTCTTCCACCAGGCTCATGTTAGTTGAGCGCAAATGAAATTGTTCACTAACTTGATGGGGCAGGTGGTAAGATATGAAGCAAATGTTCAAATGCATGGAATATGGGGACGAAATTGTGATAGTGCCTATGCGGTTTCCCCCTTCCATATAGCTCCACCTCCACAAAATGCCCAACTGCAGCACATTGCGGCCAACTGGGCACGTCTTACGTGGGAGGCGGTCAATGCTTCGAAAGCAGAAGTGGTTAAATATCAGGTTCATTGCAGAAACAGCAGTTCAGAATGGAAACAATTTAAAACTACTTGGCTCGTATTCGACCTTCCACTTGATGATGATATTGTAGAGGCCAGAGTCCGTGCTTTTCATATGCTCTGCAATATACGCGATAGCAAAATTCTTGGTGAAATGTCATGGTAATTTCTTGAATTTATTTGTGGATGAATTTATTTAAAAGAATTTACAGCATTGAGACGAATGTTAAGAGTAAAGTTTCTAACGAATAAATAATTTTGTGGTATAATGAGCATTAGTCAGTGCAGAGAGGCTCACATAAGTTGGCTCTTAAATTTAATTTTGGAGGTATAATTCAAACTGTTTGATATATAGAAATCAGGACTATTAGTTTGAGAAGAATTCATTTCCACTTGGAAAGATAGGCGTAGAATTGGATGATCTGGCTTGGGTCCCCTGGCCACAATTTGATTTGATATTCTGGACATGGACTGACAGATTGCAAGAACGAAGGTGGGGTGTGTGGGGGAGGGCGGATAAAAGGGAAAGGGGTGGAGAGAGATCAACTGAAGAGTTCTTTGGAGCAAGACAATAAGGATGACTTTGTTTTTCGACAGCATCTGGGCTTAGCAATAAGTTGGTGGGGCATAGTCTACCTCTGTGTCACTTTATTTCACAATCTCCATCGTTTCTCAGTACTTTTAGTCGCTTTTGTTGCTCAGGTTATTATTTCTTACTTTTCAGGTTACTGTTCATGTAAAACCTGGATCACATTTGGTGCAATTCTCGGAGTTATCATTCTGATGGAAAATGTAATTTTGGTTACAATAGCACTGCTACGCAGGTTCAACATACCATTGCCGAATACTATTTGCCCCTTTTTATAAAAGATCAATGTCGAGGCAAAGACTCCATTTCTTACTTACCAACAATATGTTATGTGCAATTAACCGAACTTATTGAAATATACTCTGTCAAACAGCACTTTTGCTTTTTGATTTACACTTTTTGTACAGAGCAAAATGTCGTAGAATGAGAGCGTGAATTGAATTTAGACTTCTCTCGGGGTCATCACTGAAATTGAACTGATCGGAATTTAAATTTTGGCTCCACACACTCTAAGGCTAGTCCCTGGCATTGAATGAAGACTCATCTGTTCATGCATCACATGTGATTGAAACCATTAGGGGAATCACTTGGAAGTATATGTTGTTTCCAGTCTCAATTCGAATTTTGGGTATTCAAACAATCCCAATTATTCCACCCACGCACATCATTCTTAACTATAATGTGACGCAAACCGTACACTATTTGACTGAGTAAAGAATTGTCTTCCTCGGCAGGTTCGATTCACACGCTTGGAAAGGTAAGCATTATGTCTGCGAAATCGGTAAGTTGTCGAGTAACCCATTATTTGAAACGTAGCCACAACATCAAATTTGAGTGAAAGCACACACACACACACACACACACATGGTGAGGTTTGAACTCCACTGAGCGACACCTGAAGGGGGACTGACATTTGCAGTCTCCTCTTTTCACCAACTCGAGTGTTCTGGAGCCAATTCCATAACATTCCTTCCTCATTTGCCCCACTAACAATCAACAACTGTCATCAAATTAGAGAAATTCGTCTTCTCATCAATTAATCGACTTCTCCACAGACCACAAGTGGCCTAACGTTGGCCAGTGTTTAGACATTCATCAGACAAATTTGATGAACAATTCAAGACAATGAGTTAAGCTCATTCAACTTACATGAGTGAACAAAGACATTTGCTATATCACAGTAATGAAGTCAATGCAATGGTGCTTAATGTAGTTGCACTGATTGTCATATAAACAATCTTGAAAAAACCATGCCACTTGTGGCAATTAAGAGTGGAGTGAGTTTTAGATTTATAGAGAAACCTTGAAGAAAGCAGGTTTCACTGGCACAATCACTATAGCACAAGTGAGGTTTCATAACGCCATGCAGTGACAATTGATTAGTGGTTGGTGGAGAGGTCTCTGTGCTCTCGGTGGTACATGCTCACTCCGCGTCAAGTAGCACGCACCCAACTTTGTCCTCGTCTGACTGCACATCTTACTCCTCTCTTCAGGCATTGCTACCTTGTG